ATATTAATTAAAATTAAATGGATTTAATTAAGTCTCGCGTTGATAATGCCCACGTATGAAGTGGGCGAAACACGTGTCCGGTCAAATAAAATTATTTGTGGTAATTAGGGGTGAGTATTCCTTTTAATTTTAATATAACATCTATTATAAATACTAACTAAAAAATTGTTTTTAAAATATTCACGCGTTTCTACAAAATTATTCTGTTTAATTCATAAAACCGTAAATTAACTTTCTAAATTTAATTCCATCATTATTCATAACGTAGGAAATCATGATTCCACACAGAAAGTGTATCACACACATACATAAATAGAAGCATATCATTTCTCGAAACAAATGACCGACGATGCTATTATAAGGCCGTTAAAGAGATTAGAATGAAGACAAACAGATATCACTTGGAGAGAATGTTAGGGTTCTACGACTATTAAAATGCAATGATTTTTAGAAATGTAGAAATGAACTGCAGAATTTTGATATATTCGAAAGAAAAATCTGTTAAGAATTACTCAATCAGAAGATTAAAAAATCATTGCTTTGTTCATTAAGAAAAGAAAGAAAAATCTTCTTGACCATTACATTTTTATACTTTCATCTTTCTTAATTAATAAGGGAATATTTAACTTAAAAATAAGCAGCACAATAAAATTAAAGTATTTTGTCCGCATTTTAAACTACGATAATTATTCTTTATCAGAAATCGTATAAAAAATTGTAATGTACAGTACACAACATAAAAATGCCTAGATTATACAATTACCGAAAACAAAGATAAAAACATTCATTTACACCAACAGTGTTTAGTGTTATGAAATCATAATTATTTTCTCAGAAATAAAGAATTATCAAACTCAGACTTTTCTGTTAAAAGTTATGCGTGGTCATACATTACAATCAGTCAGTGAACAACAATCAACAATCATTCCGTTTTCCTACCCTTAGGGTTGGAATTTCTTTTCCAAATTTATATGGGGCCAACTTCGGGATATACCCTTTCCAATAAAAAAAGAATTATCAAAATCGGACTACTCTGTAAAAAGTTATGCGTGGTTATACATAAAAAAAAATATACGCGTCGACTTGAGAACCTCCTCCTTTTTTCCGTCGATTGAAAATATACTTAATTCAAAGAAATCTTTGTCTAAATATCTGAATGAAAAATTTATCTGGATGAAAATCTAATATTTTCGGTTACATTTTAGGAGACCTACCTTATTATGGTGTATGTTGTTAATGTCTATGTTTATAATTTTATTTGAAAATAGTTGTACTTTCCAAATTTAAATAATAATAAAAAATAGCATTAATTACCAAATTTTTCGTAATTTTTTAAACTTATGTTTAAATAACACATTAATTAAAATAAAACTTTTGCCTTTTTATAACAGTAAAAAGTATGCACAGTAAAATATCAAATTCCATTGAATATCAAAACAAAAAAGAATAATTAAACAACTTTGTATTTGCAGTTGTATTACTATGGATGAAAGAAGAAAATAAAGAAATCCTTTAAATAAAATTTTGGTAACAAATTCGAAAATCGAGCAACTTTCACCGTACAACACAATCAAATAAAACTTTTGTTAATTTTCAAGTAGATAAACTACTATTATTATTAAATGGACATTACCTTCAATAAAACAATAGTAACAATTTGAAATGATTAATATAGTCGACGTTATTTAAATCATTTGCAGTTAGATTGTTAGATTTTCCTTATCTCTTTTAAACCTATTCAATACACGGAATAATACGTAATGGTACAAATACCTGATTCCAAAAACTAAATACATATTTATTAGTTGTGGTTTTGTTAAATTAAGGTACAAGAATTACCCACTCAATCGATGAATATTACGTGAACGAAATTAATGTAAAGTGTGTAAAGATTGAATATTATTAGGTAGTTCTTGTAATACTCTGTAGAAATACACAAACATTTTTATTCACATCAACAAAGTAGATTAAAAACACTTGATAAGGCTTCTAAGTGGAACTTTCACCTTCGATTATCTGGAGGACGAGTTAAATTTCAACTCAAACAATTAAAAAAACGCTAAACCGCATTCCTACAAAGTGTATCATCTGCGATCATTTGAAAATATAAAGTACTTACGGACATCTAACAATTCTATTAATAATTATAATTAGAGAGAAAAGTTTATAAATTAATACCTGTATCAAAGTGTAAACTTACCATTATAAAACTGATTGTTTCACGTCGATGTTATGTCCCAAGAAGGTCATAATGTCAACCTACCACATTTATGTTTATAATCAACTGGCTGTGAAACTGAAATTTTACATAAACAAGGATTAAATCCGCACAAATATGTTATAGATTTCTGTTGTGCGTTTAAAGCTAGCAATATTAAAAGTTTAAACGATCACTACTCTCCGCTAGAGGTCACTTACAATGTGTGCAATTTTAGAGGTTGAGCGTTTTAAGTTTAGATGCCTCTAACGGTAACTTATAGAGACTTAAGTCGTAACAATTCTTAAAGCAAGGATTTTTTTAAATTAAAAACAGGTAAAGATAATTCTACAATTCAATGTAAATCATAAATAAAATAAGAAGATATATGTTACTTACCGAGCTTTTTTGATAAAACTTTGGGAAAAATGTATCCTTATCCTTTCACTGGGTGGGAAATATTAATAAAGCGAGGCGATTTTGGAAAAAGTAGGAGAAAAGAAAGCGCCAAGGAAATTAACAAGAAAACAAACATATAGGACACCATCTAAAACAAGAAGGGCTAATTAGAAACATATTAGAAGTAAAAACAGGAGTAAAAAGGGACAAAAAAAAAAATAAATATGTAGTTGGGGACATATGGGATGTCTAAGTCTAAGAGAAATGCGAAAATTGGTTTAGGNTAGTGGAAAGAAAATGAGTCATTGGCAATTTCCAAGTAATGAATTAGAAACATTGCTAAACAGTTAGAACAATATTTGGTAATTAAATTACACTTCCTCTACATTCGTGTCGTAAATATATTATTAACACTTCATTCCTCATAAAAATATTAGGTAACTGTCTATTTTATGAGACTGTAGGGACTAAAAGGGTTGGGGATGACCTTGTAGAATAATAAACACGTATTTGCAGAAGACTTGGACGTGTAGAGGGTGGAAGTAGTAATTTTTTAGTTTTGGGGGTCAGTCAGTTATAGTGGGGGGTTATGGTTGATCTTGTACAACACAAAAAGAAATGTCTAGATGGTATGAAGGTGGTAAAAATAGAAAATTTGAAGAGCTAAATTTAAATATTTTTGTGTTCTAGACAGTCGGTCATCCCTACCCCTTCATTCATTTCCCCACCCGTTTCAACTCAGGAATGAAGTCAAAGAGGAGTATAAATGAAGAAAAATTAGTAGATTTCATTTTGTGAAAATTTCGAGAGTGAACACGAAAAATTAATTAAAATATGTACTTCTTACCTTTAAAGTAGGATTGTTGGCTAGCGTATGATAAATCCAAAACAATCGACTAGTTACATAGTAGGCAACAATAACGTCTATTGTGTAATGACCTCGAGCTAATTGCAACATTATCACCCCTATCACAGCCAGCAACCAATAGAGCCAATGGATAGGATATAATTTTTTAGGAGTGTCTGTAAATAAAGGAAACATGAAACATCGATTTTATTTTTCTCACAACAACACCTACACAATTCATCTTTAGATAGACTTCGTTTACTTAAAATTGAAATACAGTAAAAGCCCTTTATTCGCGAGGTATACGTTCCATAAATATGCCGCAAATACAAAAACCGTGGATATGAAATGGTAATTAGTATGGAATCATAGGGGATACTTTCTAAGGTTCCAAAACAAAATCAATGTATTGATAAATTCGCAATTAAAATTAATCGTTATAATCAGCTTTAGACAAGAGTTAAAAAAATTTAGTGATTTCTTCTTGTTTTGAATTTTGAAATTAGTCCACTCGGTTATAAAAGTCGCATCGGCACGAGCCAATAGTACTCAAAAGATGCTGATATATTAAGGGGATTCAGTAGAACACGCGCCGTAGAATAAAAACAGGCTTATCGGTTCTAGATATCATGAGTTTAATATTTGGAACAGAGGTTTGAAATTTTGTAGTAAGATAGATAAAGCTTTGTTCTAAAGCATGTCGAAGGGCATTTTTTAACTTTTTAATGTCTATTGAAAATACGTGTCCTACAAGAAGCATCAACTTTAAGCACTTGTAAAATCTTTTAATGACCACATTATTGAAAACCAAAAACGTACCGAGTTAGTGTGAACCTTTGTCTGTTACCATACAAAAAATTAGATATTTATCTCGCAGCGTTAAAACACAATGTTCAGAATAGAAACCCATGCTAGATCCCCTTAATAAATGACACCGAATCCTTTTCTGTTTACCGATTGCAATCGCGAATAATGAAAACGCGAATAAGGAAATCGTGAGTAAGGAACTTTTACTGTATAACTTGAAATTATTAATCCTTTAAAATTTTTATGGCATGGTGCGAGGGGAGGGGCCAGGCCACGCGTTACGATCGAAGCTTGAGGAATTTCGCGTTACATAATTTCTGGACAGTCCCCTTTTTGTTTCTAGACTATGATCGAGTATTGTTGCTCAAAGTCTTTGTTCTTTTCGAAATAGCGACAACGCTCATTTAAAAATAATCATTAAAAAAGGGGTTTCAAAAATACGAACAGCTGATTGTGTCCAAACAAAAGGTTCACATTAGATATATCTGATGTTGGGGCCTGTCTCAATTGTGCAAAATCGCTTGTAAAATGTTACGGTAACATACAAATCTATCAGCAAGGACATAAAAATATTTATGTTGGAAGTCTAGTATTTACATGTAAAATATTGTAAGGCAAGCGGCATTGGCACTAATTAAGACCTGTCAATTATTTAACAGAAGCATGCTTGTGAATGATCACTGGAGACGACCTCGCCCCAAATTTTCTTTTAATTTGATGAATATTTTATGGTATCATCTTATAATTTATAGAGCATGGAAGCCACACGTGGCTCATTTGAATTACAAAGCGAACCTGGATTGGACGGTAATAAAATTCCGAAAAAAACGGAAAATTTCAAAGAAACTTCAAGGATATTCGAGAAATAGGAGCATCTGCTTTTATAGAAACTTTAACTTAACACACGATGTTAATTTTCACGTACTTTAAAATATTGAAAATATAAAATAGCATATTGTTATTGTAGAGTATCGAATTAAATTAAATTATTAAAATTTATTACACATTCAGTACATAAATTTCAATTTTTTACCAAAGAAAACGCTGTTTCAAAATCAGATTTTTGGCCAAGGCCCCAAGAAATAAATTTTATACAGTTAAGTTTGAGTTATTTTAAGTACGAAGGAACCCACTACTATTTATCTATAATTAAAATAAGTATTTACTTTTACATCTACGCAATTATCTATTTTCGGGAATTCGACATCGTTTTGACATACATACATCAGGGTGCTCCCCAACTGTCAAATGTTTACGAGAAAAATCAATGATGTTCTGTTTTCCGTAACTTTTCAAAACGTAAACAAAAAAAAACGAGTTTTGTGTTTAGTAATGAAAAAAAAAAAATTGATATACGAGGGCTATTTTTTGTTCAACCGCTGTACATGACCAGGTAGGTTAGGCACAGCTGATGTTCTTACCAAGCCGCTAATTGTCGCAAAAGGTGCGAAGTCTGGACTATACGGTGGATGATTGTGGTTTTCATGCATGATAATGTACGGCAGCACTGTGGTAACATAACGACAGGCATTCACAAACGATTTAAGTGGGACGTCTTATACCATCCGCCGTAAAGTTCAGACCTCGCAACGAGTGATTTATTATCAGAAAATCGGAAAATTAGTATCAGTATATGAAAATTCTATCAATCGTACTGTGCGAACAAGACGCTATTCACATTTTAATAACAAAATCATTTTGTAACACATACAGAAGCCTCTTTTTTAAAAAACAAAAATACCCTCGTATAATACGATAAATAAAAGTGCAATGTAATATTATAATAAAAATGTACTTACATTCAGCTATGAAGAGGTAACTAATTACTAAGACTACTGTGTGCCCACTGTATATCGAGTCTCCACAATAAGTTTGTTTGCCGTTGATGGACAATCCGAAGCCGGAGAACAGGCTGACCATCCTTTTAATTATAACATACGGGGACGTTTCGTTGGCTTTTGGCGAACAATAATAAGTTTTATTGGCAATAGGTAACACGGTAACGTACATGGTAATCGCACGGTACATGTACAATAACGACATAAGTAAAAATATCCTTCTAAATACAATAAATCTGAAACAAGAGAAAAAGTCCAAATAAACATTCGGTTTGGCTTTAACCAGATCGCTTAACAGTAATATTGTCGTTTGTTTTTAGAACGAGTCCTGAAGGAGAACCTCGGTGGGATAAATAAAGAGATTCCCATGAATGGTGGAAACACACAATGTTTTTAAAACAAAATAATGAATTTGAAAATTTGTATTTTAAATATTTTTTTCGGGCTACCTATTTGTTAAATATTTATAGTTTTCTTTGTGCAAATAGATAATAGATCAAAAAGAACATTAATTTTTATTACAGTTATTGTTAACTCACGATTTTAAATTGTATAAGTATTTTTTTATGTTTAAGTGTTTTAGGTCTGATTGGGAAACATTGTAGGACAAACGAGTTACGACTAACTCAAACTATCGCTTTTTAGATAGAACCAATTTAGCCTAGGTAAAACCAGTTTATGCTGAAATCGGATTTGACTAGGACAAACCAGTTTGGACTAGGCGAAAATAGTTTGATCTATTAGGCAAAACTAGTTTATCCTGAAACATGATCACTAGATTGAAAATTGTGATAAAAACATTCCTTCCCAAAAGTTCTTTAAGAAAGTCTTTATTTATCTATTTGTTAAATATTTATAGTTTTCTTTGAACAAGTAGATAATAGATTAGAAGGAACACTAATTTTCATTACAGTTATCGTTAAATCACGAATTAAAATTGTTTAATTATGTTAATAATAACGACGTTTTAGGTCTGGTTGGACAACATTGTAGGACAAACAAGTTAGGACTAAGTCAATCTTGTTCGTCTTGTCGCTTTGTAGATAGAACCGATTTAGCCTAGGCAAAACTAGTTTTGACTCGCAAAAACAAGTTTGGACTAGGCAAAAATTGTTTGATTGATTAAGCAAAACTGGTTTATCCTGAAATGATTTAGCAAAACAATCACTAATTAGATTAAAAATTGTGATAAAAATATTCCTTTCCTAAAGCTCTTTAAGAAAGCAAAATTAACAATAAAGGTTCTTGATAGTTATGATAATTATAAATTGTATTTAATTGACTCCTATTAATTATNAGCATGTTAACAAAGACTAACTAACCAATAGCTGAAGGTCGAACCAGAACCTTGAAATGTTTGATTCTTAAGACGTAGTAAATTAACGAGGACCATGGCTAAATACATTTGAAAGGCAGATTGTTTATAGAGGAATGCTCTGCTTTATGTAAGCGCTTATTTACAATTAAAATAGGAATTTGTTAGAAACAATGTCTTGCAAAAGCGAAATTTTCATACAACGTTGGTGCATGTGTTTATTACCAATAATTCTAAATTATTTTTCATACACAGACATTTAATTTTTCCGTAATTATATGAACGATTTGAATTATTCGCAAAAATCTAGAATAATTATTTGACAATTTTCATTAACGAACAAACGTATGTGCAAAGTTCAAGGATATTTCTATTTTAATAATAAATAAGTTTACGTGTAAAACAAGGCTGTAATTGCAATTCACATACTTATATATATGCATACATACACACGTCACTAATCGTAAAACTAATAACATAATAAGTCGTTAATTGGTGGTTTTAAAAGTGATTGTTTTCTATGGACAATAAAGATACGCGTTTTGTTAAAACAATTAAACCTACAAAGTCATTGTTCATAATAAAAATCGAATCGACTGTGTGGTAATGACAAAATTGTATATTGCACAACAACTTTTTTTAACCAAATAAAAATTTATGAAAAAATTAAATATTTTTTAAGCATTTCATAATTTACTATTAGCAGTGAACAGGGCGAATGTTATGATTTGAACTGGATGTCTATCAATGGGGAAATTGCGTTTACATTTAACTCACCTGTGTTTATGTAGTAAAATAGTAATCAAGGCAGAATTTACGGAAATAACTATAATGTACTCAGATACATCTAGAGCCCAATCTTGGACAGTAAAACTATCAAGGAAAATGTCCGGAAGGGGGCCGTACGTCTTACGGTCAGGTACTCGTTCGTGTACAAGTGACAGTGAAGCCAGCGAGAGGAGGAAATTGAAAAACATCACGAGTGCAGCTGAAACAAACAGAAAAACAATATTAAATTAGCATAATTGTAAAATTAATTCAACTCAAAAATTCGACTTAACCTAGCCTAATGTAAATTGTGAAGAATAGCATCGTACTAGCATCCCGATGTTATAGGACGTAGAAAGAGTTTAGGGGTTTTAAATATTTAGACGAGGGTGGTTCTAGCCGTAGTAATGTGTTGAAAAAACTCTCGATTCCTACAAGGCAGCTTTTAGGACTGTAACTCATCAAATATCTCGTTTTCGATCTAAAAAGTGTCGGCATCATCACGTAGTTTTATGAAACAATGACTTCCGGGTGTATAAGATACTCTGTAGGGGGTGGTTATGGTCAGAACTGCTGCAAAAATTAGCGATGCGTAAGAGACAGTGGCTTTAGGCTTGTAATTCGTCAAATATCCCGTTTTCGTTCAAAAAATGATCGCGGCATCCCCGAGTTCTTCGGTGGAAAGAGTTCCAGGGGATTCAAATACTCAGACGAGGGTAGTTTTATTCAGAACATCTATAGAAACTCCCGACTGCTGCACGATAGTGATTTTTAGGCTTTTTATTAGTCAAACATCTCGCTTTGGTTGAAAAATATATAACATCACGGAGTTGTGGCGTAAAAAGACAGACAACACCCGAGAATTCTGGGGTAGAAATATAACTTCCATGCAATAAGCTAGGTTAATATTATTATTTTATTAAATTATTTATTAATTATTTATAATTCAGTTATTAGTTAACATGAACTTACTATATAAATTGTTGACTAAATTATTTTAAATTAATGTGAAAATTCATTTTCGATTTTCTATCCACTACTAACTACCTCAGCTTAATGAGGGAAAACATTTGTTGCTGGTGTCACAACCCCGACGATAGTTTGTAGTGGATAGAAAATCAAAAATGAATCTTCACATTAATATTTCATATTAACCAGTATTAGTAATTAAAAATGTCATATTTTAAATTATCTAATTTCGTATTATAATTACATTATTGTAATAACGTATATTTCTAAATAAATATTGAATGTACGAGGGCGGTTCAATAAGTACCAGTGTTAGACATGAAGACACCTTTTTTTTTTAAATTTGTTTTTTTATTTTTCAACATAGTCCCCTTTTAGAAAGATACACTTCTCCCACCGACCCTGCCATTTTTTTTACCCCTCCAAAAAATAAGATTTGTCGAACTCTCCAAAAACCCCCCCTGTCTCGGCGATGACTTCCTCGTTTGAGCTAAATTTCTTTCTCGCTAGTCATTTCTTCATGGTAGGGAACAAGATGAAGTCGCAGGGAGTCAAATCGAGTGAGTACGGGGTGTGCGGCAGCAAATTCATAACGTAATTCATGCATTTTGGCGGCAACAACTCCTGATGAATGTGCCGGTGCGTTATCGTGTTGAAAACGCACCTTCTTTTTCGTCAAATGCGTCCGTGTCTCCTTCAATTTTTTGTCGAAGCGGTCCAATAACTCACTGTAGTATTGTCCAGTGATCGTTCTTCCTTTTCCTAAAAAATCCGTAAAATGATTTCCTCGGTAACAACGTTTGCCAGGCTTCCTGGTCGCTCCTATCAAAAACGGATCTTTGCCCACGTTTAAATTCGTTGAAGCAATATCTAACTGTGGTCGTAGATGGCGAAATGTCTCCATAAACAGTATCCAACTTTGTTTTCATCTCCTCGCATTTTTTCCCATCCAAAAACAGAAAGCGAGTTACCGAACGATACTGCTCTTTTTCCATCTTAGCGAAAATAACGAAGCACGTCTGAGTGGAATGGCTGCCAAATCCAAACTAACCTATCAATCAGTCTGAAATTCGTTTTGACGTGGTTTGATAGATGGCAGCACACGATGACACCAATTTCCCTCATGAACGTCCTCTGTCTTCAAACGCGGGTACTTATTGAACCGCCCTCGTATGTACATATAAAATTAGATTCTTCATGACGATATTACATATGCATTCATGCAGTAAGTATCAATTGCCATGCACGTATTTTATGTTTCCTAGGAGTTTATTCTTATGTAACAGGCGTCAACCAAAGAAAATTCAATTTTACTACAATTTCCTGATTCTAATCTTCAGTTCTACAGCATGTTAACAAAGACTAACTAACCAATAGCTGAAGGTCGAACCAGAACCTTGAAATGTTTGATTCTTAAGACGTAGTAAATTAACGAGGACCATAGCTAAACACATTTGAAAGGCAGATTGTTTATAGAGGAATGCTCTGCTTTATGTAAGCGCTTATTTACAATTAAAATAGGAATTTGTTAGAAACAATGTCTTGCAAAAGCGAAATTTTCATACAACGTTGGTGCATGTGTTTATTACCAATAATTCTAAATTATTTTTCATACACAGACATTTAATTTTTCCGTAATTATATGAACGATTTGAATTATTCGCAAAAATCTAGAATAATTATTTGACAATTTTCATTAACGAACAAACGTATGTGCAAAGTTCAAGGATATTTCTATTTTAATAATAAATAAGTTTACGTGTAAAACAAGGCTGTAATTGCAATTCACATACTTATATATATGCATACATACACACGTCACTAATCGTAAAACTAATAACTGTGCTATGAAAGCGTTTCAAGTCAGGGTATAAAATCTATAATATCTATGTGTGTTATTGCGGAATACAATTGTCAACTCTTGAACTAATGATCAATAAAAAAAATTAAATAAATTAACAAGTCATGCTTGCAAAAAAAACATCATACAGCAAAATCGAACCGTCGAGGCCTGCAAAAATTGGGACGCTACATCCGAAGATCAAAATACGTTTACTTAAACTTACATTTTTATGGCTTTTATTAACTAGTTGCCAAAAATGGGTATTTAAAAAGAAAATGGCAGAATATTTCGTTTTAAAATTTTAAAATGAAAAAAGAAAAGATTTTTCTTGTTGCGTAAAAAAGAGTATGTAGTAAAACTACTCGCTAAGCTGGTAAACTACCGGCAGGTGTGCTTTATTATCACTAAAGTTCGATTTTTCCTTATTTCAGGGACGAAATTTTGACATTTCCGCCGCGTGAAAATTGTGGTTGCTTTGGTTTAGTAAGGTCGTTAATCCTAAGACTGGCTGGACACGCATCTCCACTCATTGTTGTCCTGAGTTAATCTTCGCATTTCCCTAAACCTAGAACATCCCGCATCCTTAACTATTTTTAAACGGTAACCTAATCTTGGTCTACCTCTACCCCTCTTAACTCTTGATTCTGCTTCCAATATGTTTTTACCTAGTCCTAATGTTGAACTTTATATAAAGTGAGATGCTAGTAACATGCTCAAATTCTTGTCTGCATCTCTTTCTGTTACACATTAATCGGTGTAATGCTATTCCTTTTTCTTTTTTAGTGTCCGCTGCAATTCCTATCTGACATCTCTTTTCTAAATTTGCGATAAGTCGTGCTGTTGTGAGTAAAAGTAGGCATTCTGTCAGCAACCGCTTTAGTCTATTTAGTAAGTTGAAAGAAGAAAGTAAATGTGCTAGTTTTATTGTGGACTATGCCAATTTTGAATATCCCAACTATACATGGAATTTATTACCCGAAAGGGAATGAGGATAAAGCAACGTACTTTCGGTATGGGAATGGTAAAAAACATTTTGCTTGTATAGTGGATTTCATTTATTACGACCTTGGTTATAGCGACCATTTTGCTATAACGACATCAAACCTAAGTCCCTTGAATTTAGAGCATACTTTAGTACAAATTCATGTGGTTATAGTGACTTCGGATGTAACGCCGAGTTCGGGTGTAGAGACTGTTTTTAATGTATCATTTGTAACAAATCCCTAATAATCACATGCAGAGACAGCGACCAGAATCGGCTGCCAAAGACACAAAGGTCTTTCTTATCATTTGTTTGCATCCACACAGATGGTCAGCAAGTGTAGTGACCTTTACCGTATGTTCATAGATGTTAGCCAGTTAGATAGGTAAGCGTGTATGTTAAAATGGTTCAGTTACAAAGTGATGTTCTGAGTAGCAGCTGTGTTTAGTAAATTTTAGAATAAGTATGACCCCCTAGATGCTGATTTATACGTGTCTGTATCTCTTTACCTTTGCCTGTAACGACTTCTGAAAATACAGTGGTCCCTTCGTCGTCGTTATAGCCGAAATCTGCTGTATATATAAAAGCATAAAAAACAACAAAAACTAATCAGAAAAGTCTGAAATACAATTTTGTTCTGGCGATTTATTAAAAGAAAAATATATTTGGTGATTGAACAATAAATAATAACTTTTCGATTATAAGTACGAATTTTTCCTACAATAATTGTCGTTCGTGCATAAAACAGTAGTATGCTTGCTATGCACTTATGTACGTGNCATACTTAAAAAGAAAATGGCACAATATTTGGTTTTAAAATTTTTAAATGAAAAAAGAAAAGATTTTTCTTGTTGCGTAAAAAAGAGTATGTAGTAAAAGTACGCGTCAAGCTTTATTATCACTAAAGTTCGATTTTTCCTGATTTCAGGGACGAAATTTCGACATTTCCTCCGCGTGAAAATTGTTATTATTTTGGTTGCGTAAGGTCGTTAATCCTAAGACTGGCTGGACACGCATCTCCACTCATTCTTGTCCTGAGCTAATCTTCGCATTTCCCTAAACCTAGAACATCCTGCATCCTTAACTATTTCTGAACAGTAACCTAATCTTGGTCTACCTCTACCCCTCTTAACTCTTGATTCTGCTTCCAATATGTTTTTACCTAGTCCTTCGTGCCTGAGATGGTGTCCTACCAACCTATCTCGCCTAGTTCTTATTGACTTCCACAGCGCCCTCCACTTACCTATCCCTTCTAATATTTCACTGATTTCTAACCTTTTTTATCCACGGTATTCTCATCAAACGCTTCTAATCTTTTCTTTTCACTCACCGTCCACGTTTCGCGACAGTACAGAACCGTACTTCAGATATATATCTTTAACAATCATTTCCGAATTCTGAATGAACAGCTATTCTTGGTTTTATATCTCCACTGCTCCTTCCATCTTGAATTATTTTACTTCCTTGACACGAAAATCAGTCACTTTTTCTAATTTTGTGACTTTTTTAATCGGTCCTTAAAAAGAAAATACGACATCCCTGCCTGAAGTTTTGTCTCGCTCGCCTTCAAATACAATTTTGTTCTGGAGATTTATTACAAGTAAAATTTGCTGTAAATGTATTTTGCGATTGAACAATAAATAGTCACTTTTCGATTATAGGTACGAATTTTTTCCTACAATAATTGTCGTTCGTGCATAAAACAGTATGCTTGCTATGTACTTGTTATGCACCTATGTAAGTGTTTGAATGACGATGTAACATATCACCAATCGTGGAATATCTTGCCGGCCCTGTAATTTGCCGACAATAAAAACCAAAGTTGTATTTAAATCGATGATGTAACTCGTCTAGCATTACTGTATGTTTTGCTTACTGAACTAGTAATAAGTTGTTGGTAATTCTGCTGATTCACAAAGCATTCGAACGAATATGGTACGTAGTAAGGAAAAAAATACAAAACCGATAAACCATTACTGTTATAAAATATTCCTTAAAAGATCTATACTTAATAATGAAGTAACCGACAGTCGACAACATATCGAAGAATCTTTTCACAATAGAGAATGTATTTGATGGGTTTAGTTAACTGAAAAACCTCATTCAATATTACTATTCTAACTTCCTTGGTATCACGCCTGGTCACAAGAGCCGTGTTGAGATGGCTGCCCTGCAGAAGGTGAGCTTTAAAATTTTGACTCACCCACCCTACAGTCCTGACCTAGCTCCCAGCGATTATTACCTACTCCCAAACTTGATAAAAATCTTCCGTGAACTTTAAAACGCCTCCTCGTACGTATAATATGTATTAGTAAGGATATGAAAGTAATACATTATTTAAATTTCCTCCGTATTTTTAGTTTATTACAGTTTTATTTTTTAAAATGTAGCGAACAATAGGCAATAAACATCAGAATATATAGTTTAAGTATGAGATGATAAAGCTGTTAACGGGAACGCAATTATTTTTAACGAACTAAAAGGATGAGGATGTAATTTTGTAAAGGTGCGCCGATTATAATCTGATAGAATTTAGGGCAATCTATAAAAGTGAGTACAAAGGTTTGAAGAGGTTAGATGAGTTCAGCGCTATTTTATAACCACATTGTTCTAAAACTCGTCCGAAGGTAAAATGTCATTAATGAATAGTTTAGTTGTTTGCTTCTTGGTGGCATTTGTTATGTAGCATCTAAACTGAAAGAAATGTAAAACGCGAAATTTTGCGCGTTTGAATTTGAAAATTGATTAAAAATCTTGGCACCTTACAACACTCTGCTGCGATTATATCATAATACAAATTCAAATTACCTTAGCCACTCTAAAGAGGGAAATATTCGAACCGACATTTGAAGAGTGGTTAAAAAAGATCCGAAATTATGAATCATCGCCTTCGATTTCAGAAAAACAAAGTCGCTAGAACACATGTCACCTTATGACACCCTGCTGCGATTACATTATAATACAAATTTAAAATGTCATAGCCAATGTAAAGAGGAAAATATTCGCTCCGGAATTTGAAAATTGGATAAAAAAGACCCGAAATTATGAATCATTACATTCGGTTTTACAAAAACACATATTTACCAGGATACATGTCACCTTACAACACCCTGTCGGGATTATAACGTAATACAAATTTAAATTTCTTTAGCCACTGTAAAAACGGAAATATTCGCCCCGGCATTTGAAGATTGGTTAAAAAAGACCCGAAATTATGAATCAGGACTTTCGATTTCATAAAAACGCAAATACTTCAGAATATATTATCATCTTATAACACGCTGCTGCGATTATATCATAATACAAATTTAAATTACCTTAGCCACTCTGAAGAGAGAAATCTTCGCTCCCAAAATTGAAAAATGGAAAAAAAAAAACCGAAATTATGAATCATTACATTCGGTTTTACAAAAACACATATTTACCAGGATACATGTCACCTTACGACACCTTGCCGGGATTATAACATAATACAAATTTAAATTACCATAGCCACTATAAAGAGAGAATTCTTCGCCCCCAAATTTTAAGATTGGCTATAAAAAGACCCGAAATTATGAGTCACTTGATACGATTTACAAAACAACAATTACGCCAAAACATAGTCATATTACGACACCCTACCGCACGTATCATACAAATTTGAATTGACTTGAACCACTGTAACGAACCAGCGTGCCCAAATTTGAAAATTTCGTTTCTAAATCAATAATGTTGGATTCTTTTTAACAATTAGTGAAAAAACGATAAAAAAGACCAAAACAAACCAAAAATTTCCGGAAATAAGTTCGATTTTAGTATGAATCCTTCTTTTGTGCGGTGCTAAACACAATTCCATTGTCGACGAATGTATTACATGGGGTCAAAGGTTTATAGTAAACTTGTTGATGAAAGTAATAAAACGAAAACTCACCTATAAGCGTTTTCCACCGTTCTTGTGGAAATCTGGGTTCCTCCCTGACCGGTGGAGGCATATTAATTTTAATAATTCCATTAGATTCAGTACTTTTGTGTAGCGCTTCTTCGTCGTCATCTTCGAAATAATCGGCGGCCGCGGTGGGATGATTGCTATTGCCCCATTTGTCACCCTTGGCCGGCGTTGGCAGCAAAGGTTGACGCTGGTATAAATCACCTGAAAGGAAGAAGAACAAATTCGCTTACCTAAGAATACACAGAATGTAGTCGCAAAAAGTTTTTTGAATAAGTATGTTCACTTGAATAGAACATGATTTATGGAGAAAAACTCGCGTACTTTGGAGTTTTATCATGATTTCGCACATCATTGATTTTTAACTTTGCTACAGGTAGGCATACATCAAAGGAATGTTGAGCATATTTTTTTCTTTATAAAAAATTCCAACCCTAAATAATTAACCTTCCAGCACCTAAACTTTTTTTTACGTCCATTTTATTACACGAATTATAAGTTATGAGAATTGGAATGGGAAATTCTTTTGTGAAACAGTATTACCAATGTAAGGAAAAATCAAACAATCCAAGAAAATTCAGAGACTTTTGGCACTTTGCCTAAGTTTCAAACACTGCATTTCGTCATCAAGAAAAGTTTGTGAAATATTCCCACAGTACTTTTATACTCTATGCCAAAAACATTATTATTAATTAAGAGATACAATTTCAATAAACTTTAAACTAAAATATGTATTTATTAATGCTGTCTATCATTGCCTTCTAACTGCAACGAGAAAGAGGACTTTAATCTAAAATATTTGATATAACATTGCATACGTAAATGTGGATTATCTCATAGTTTTCATTCGTTAAAACTAAGTAATATTATGTTAAGAATTTTATATAATTTTTACTGAGACGCTCATAGATGATGTAAATATTTTCAGCGTGTACAGTTCACCTATATACTGCGATAAATATGAATACAGCAATAAGAGGTCAGTAGGTTTCTCGCTCTGAGAGATTTAAAAATGCATTTGAACATTTTTATTTTCATTTGTGTAATGTAAATTAATTAAAAAACATTTTAAGTTCCTGTTCATACACTAATGTTACAATATTCTAAAGAATGCACAAAATCATATGATTTATATCATCGCCATTTGAAATATGCTGGCCACTCATTGGTGGTAGGTGGAGATTTTAACGGTAGAATCGGGGCTTCAAATCAACTTGATGAAGACATGGTAGAAGGTTGCCAATTTTATGCAACCAGACAGGGACGAGACAAGACTATTAATAAAAACGGCGTCACCCTAGTAAAGGCAATGGAATCTGCCGGCCTTGTCGTCCTGAACGGCAGATCGAAAGCAGACAGGTCAGGTAACTTAACATTCATGGGGAGCATGGGACAGAGCACAATTGACCTGGTTTGGAGCGACTTACCCAGCTTGAGATATCTGCTGGATTTTGAAGTGTCAAATGTTGGAGTATCAGATCACCTTATGATTCAAGTGTCAATAAAAGAACATGCCGAAGATTGTAAGGGGACGAATAGCAAACAAGAACCTAGAACGAATAGCTTAAAATACGTATGGAATAAAGATAAATATGTAGATTACCAGAACGATCTATACTCTTTGGGAGTACAATTACACGAGGAAAGTGCTGACAATGTAGATGAAATGGGACGAATCCTGACCGACGCGATTAGAGACACCGCAAAAAAACTAGGGTTGGCCCAAAAATCTCGGCCAAGTAAAGATGTGGGAAAATCTAGCCCCTGGTACGATGGGGAATGCAGAAACAGCAAGAACAAGGTAAACCACACGTATCGAAAATACAATAGCACAAACTGTGAAGTTGCAAAACAATGTTATTTAGAAGCAAGGAGAGAATTTAGAATCTTAATTAAGGCCAAGAGAAGTCAATACGCAGAAAAAATTCAAAATGAGCTTAAGCTAGCAAGAGGCCCTGATTTCTGGAAATTAATCTCTAAATACCGAAAGAGAAGCTTTAAAAAGTGCCCTATTCCGCTAAATGAGTTAACGGAGTTTTATGCTATGCTCTACCCAACCAATATCCAAGCTGAGCTACTACTCTCGGACTGTAGACATCCAACGTTAGACGCTGAGATCTCATTCAATGAAGTTAAAGCCGCTCTTAGGGCTGCAAAAGCCAATAAAAGCCCTGGACCAGACGGTCTAACGAATGAATTTTTTAAGAATCTACCTGGCAACTGGGTGAGCTACTTCACTGGACTATGCAATAGAATTCTTGAGAGAGGGGAGGTGCCAAATGATTGGACAAGAGCTGATGTAATTCTGTTCCATAAGAAAGGAGATACCCTGGATCCTTATAACTATAGAGGAATAGCCTTGGCCAATGCGATATCAAAAATCTTTACTACCATCATGGCAAGAAGACTCGGAGAATGGAGCGAATCAACTAGAGCCCTGCCTGAATGTCAGGCAGGGTTTCGAGTGAATCGATCATGTGATGACAATATATTCGTACTGGACGCTAAAATCACACTCGCTCTGAGTGAACCTAGAGGTAAATTGTATGCCGCTTTTATTGATTACAAGCGAGCTTTCGACTCGGTATCGCATCGAATATTGTGGCAGAAACTATATAGCGCGGGAGTCAGTGTCCAGTTTATAAAAGTACTTCAAGATTATTACTGCAAAGCAAAAATGAGAATCAAAATCGATGACCAACACAAATCGGCAGATATTGATGTAACGACTGGCGTCCTACAGGGTGATCCTTTGAGTCCTATATTATTCGCCTTGTTCATCCATGACATTACACAATTTTACATAGAGAAGGGGTTCATTAATATTGAAAGGAGGATGGAGATACTCCTATTTGCGGATGACAAAACCCTCTTAGCATCGAACGTGATAGATTTGCAAGACAAGCTGAGAGTGCTGGAAGAGTACTGTGACACGAACGAGTTGGAGGTGAACACTAGTAAAACCAAAGTTATGTTATTTAAGAAAAGTGGAAGAGTTCCATCCCAGAGGACGATTAAGTACAAAAATAATGCATTAGAAATAGTAAATAACTTCGTGTATCTAGGGGTACCTTTTTCAACATCCGGGATGTTTAGTAGTGCCTGTGAATACTCCAAGACGAGGACAAGAGTTGCCTTAGGGTCAATTTGGAGTACAATGATTGCTTCTAAAATGACGAGCTGGAACCAAAGATTAATCCTATTCAATGCGATAGCTACATCAGCTCTTTTGTATGGGACGAGTGTATGGGGACATCAGTATTTAGATGAATTGGACAAAGTCTTCAGGTCATTTATTAAAGGTATTTTACTTCTGCCTCGGAGTACGCCTGGATACTCACTAAGGCTAGAAACAGGAACGTCATCACTAGAGGTTCGAGTGGTCAAACGAATTTTCAATCTATGGACTAAAATAAGCAACATGCCAGAACATCGTTATCCCAAACGGTGTCTGGACCAACTAATGACTTTGCATAATACTCCCAAGAACAACAAAAGAAGAAACTGGTACTCCAAAACAATGACAATAGTCACAAAATATGACCTGGTATTAGATCCCCGGAATGTAGACTTCAAGTCTGATCTGGACAAAGCACTCCAGAAAATAGTTAACTTCAACACGGACCAAGACATAGATAGAGTGGAGAATTCTAGCTACCACCCTCTATACAAGACAATCAGATACGAGGAGTTTGATGGTGCTGAATACCTGAAGTTCAATATCCCATTATATATGATTCGTGCCATTGCACAATTAAGATTAGCAGGCCAAAAACAGATAAGAATAAAACTAAAAGAGGTTAAATACATAATTGAGACTGACGAAAGGTGCGCGATATGTAGTCTGGAAGAAAACGAGACACTTGAACATATTCTAAAGGACTGCCCGATATACGAAATGTTTAGGGAGGTTTTCTTAAAAAAAAATCTGAGTATTTCTGAGATACTGATGGTGGAAGATGAACAACAAGCCAAGAATCTATGCTTTTATATCAAAAATTGTCTCAAATTGCGAGCATTTATATTGTCAGAATAGATCAACGATCATTAATATGAAATGAATTGTAATGTAAACAGATAAGAGTATGTAGGTATAAATATACAGAAAAATGGATATTAATTATATTGATGTAAGACATACATAAACGTGTAGGAATGTACATAGTTTGTAATCATAGTTCATACACTGTGACTGAAATTTAAGACTGTAGACCTAAAAAGGTCAACTTGTAAAAGATCTAGGATCTAAACAAGTACGGAATAAATAAAATATCATCGCCATTTGGAATGCAATGGAATTTCTGTTTAATTTTCGCATTATTTCATTAATTGACCTATCAGACATCACCAGGGATATCCGGAGACAGATACGTATGACGTATTATGAGTAATAAGCTGTTGTATAAACTTGTTATCGGTATTCTCTACAACTCGATTATACCTATACATGCATAGTATATACATGTATATGTATTTGTCTATGTAGGGAAAGAAAATTAATTGGTCAGAGGAAGTTTCGCCTTCGCGTAACTAACGTAATCAGTCACTGATACAACTTTTTTTCATTTTGCAGCATTGCAAATTCTGAACGCTTACAGTTCCGTTCTTTTTTTTTTTTTTTCTTTTGGTAAAGCCACAGGAAATACATTTTCCTCTAAGTGTGCTACTAGTGGATGCAATTTCCTGTTACATCTATTATCCTTCGGAATTATTAACAAATACTAATCAAATTTTTATTTCTACAGCTTTTCTCAGGAAAATAAACAACGTATACTTACAATTAGCATAAAAAGTCAGCTTATCTATATTTTTGTATATCTGCAAACCTATTAGCATTTTCAATAGTGTAATTGTGCAAAACTCAACGCCATTGTTGTTCTTTTTAAATGTTTTAATGATTTAAGTCTTCAATTACAATAGTTAGTAAAAGGCAAACCAACGAGTAATTGTAAGATTGAAAACACACTTAAAATCAGTAGCGTTTTAATATAGCAAGGACTATTGGGATCCGTCAAATGGGAGGAGCCTAAAAACATGGCGCCGATTAGGGAAAATTTATCGTAGTTCCTATAGTGTACTGTGCAATTTCCAAGTTTTTAAATTACGATAAAATGATAAGTATTGACACAATATGTGATTAGGCTGACACAAAGCCTCGGAAAGGAAATTTCGTTGAAGGTGAGCGTGTTTTTAATGCCAATCACATTATAAAATTCGGAAATAACAAATCC